CTTTCAACTTTCAAACCTTCATCTTTCTTTTAACAATTTCATATCAAATGGAATAATTAATTGATTGAAGTTGAGTTATTTAGTTGCGTAGAAACTAAGATCCTGGATCTTAATTTGTAGTGTAGAATCTAGATCTAAAATCTGGATCTAGCAATCTAGATCTAAAATCTGAATTTAACAATTTAGATTTCTTTTAACAGTTTCATTACAAATAGAATAATTAATTGATTGAACTTGAATTATTTATTAGTTACGTAGAAACTAGATCTTAGATTTTAGTTTGTGATATAGAATCTACAATAGATCCTAGATCTTAGGTTGTAATTATGTGGAATTAGATCCCAGAGTTATTTTTGTAAGTTGTTAACAATTTGTTTGTTCATTTTATAGGTTATAGTTGCTATCTAGTTTAAAAAAAGTAGAAAAATAATCAAAGTTTAGCAAGGAGATTTTATAATTTATTAATTAGCTATTAAAATCTATTGATAGTTATTTTTGATAGTTATCTGTATTGATAGTTATTTATTAAAATTTATTTGATACTGTAAAAATTGTTGCAATTGTTAAAAAAAAATAAAAGCGTAATATAATTTACTGTTAATTTATTAGAATTGCTAGTTAATAAATCATTCTATAAAAGATATTCATTATATTAGCACTTTGTATCAGTTATTATTTAATAATCATTCATAATCTCTGATAGATAATAAATAATAAATAATTATAGTTTCATCAAGGATAATTTATGGATACTTATTTCAAAGGCAATTATAAGGTCACTTCTTTTAGATCTCCATGAAGAAAGATACACCAACGTGGATATACAGATCGTAAATAGAAATTCTAAACAATTTAATTCAAAATAAATGAAAATTCAAAAACTCACACTGTACGTCTACACTCGTATCATCCCAGTAAAATTCTTTCCATTCCATGTTTGTTCACAATTCATCAATTAAAACTACATCTTCCCTTCCCGAGAGAAAAACAAGAGAAATAAATAACAGAGAGAAAGAGAGAGAGATAGAGAGGGGCATAGCTTCCGAGAATGAGTTGAAACTATTACAAATCCCGCTGGAGTCAATGAATCTATCCGTATAAATGTTTCCCGTCTTGCGGTGCCGACGAACAATGAAACTAAGGCTAGAAAAAGAGAAAAGGCTAAGCAACAATGGAAAAAACAGAAAGGCACCGATACGGAGGTGGTTACGAAGGAATCTCCCAGGACGCGTCCACGATTCCCTCATTAGGTATGGAAGAGTGTAGATCTCGATTGAAATTGAGACGAATCGCTTTGTAGGACGTCAAGATTGGCCCCCAGCCGGGGGTGGATGTTTTCTCAGTGGAACGCGCAGCTTCATTTCGAATGAAATCGACGGTGTCGAGGAAAAGAAGAAGAAAAATAACGTTCGCTCCATGGTGGAGACAATTGGATAGAAGAGGAGAGAAAAGGGGAAAAATGGGGTAGCGTAGGGTAGCACCCCTATAAAACCAGCCACCGAGTTCCGTATTGGCATTACTCGCCG